GGCGGGCATTTGTGAGCCTCCGGGCTTAACTCTGGAACAGGAGCCCTCTCAGGGCCGGACGTGGGAACAGGAGCCCTCTCCGGGCTGGACGTGGGAACAGGAGCCCTCTCCGGGCTAAACTCAGGAACGGGAGCCCTTTCAGCCTGCCACATTCCCAGATCCACAATAAGCTCACCCTCAGCCACGGTGCAGGGGGCGGAGCTCCTCACCACGCTCTCACCGTCCTCTGCTTTCTCCCTCGGGGCGGGCACTGTCGCCGGCTCTCGCACCTGGTCAGACAGATGGGGCTCTGTGTCCGGGCCGATCCTCTGTTCAGTCGCTCGGCATTGCGCTGGATCATTGATCGCGGCGGGCACTGGCTCTCCGTCAACGGTGGGCTCGGGCTGCTGCTCCACGCAGCGGGGAGATGATGGGCTGGGCTCTGTGTCGGGAGCGGATCCGGCGAGATCCATGGGACAGATGGTGAATGGCGATCCGTTTCTCGCCAGAGTCCACTCCACGAAGGCGGTGAAGTCCTCTCGAGGACCATCTTCGGACGACAGTACCCTGCACGTGGTGTTCAAACATGCGTCATAGAATGAGAAGAGCGCGTCGTCCGGGTAGCTGGTGGTGTTAGCTAACATCAGGAACAGTCTAGTATGGTCCTAGAGAGATCTGTCCCCCTGCTCCAGCAGGAGGAGGAGATATTCGGGACAAAGGAGGGCATCCATGAGGGAAACAATGGGAGGAAAAAAAACAAAACACTGAACAAACAAGGAAACAAAACGGAGGGTAAACACGCTGTTAAACTGTAGTCGGTCGAGTCTTCTGTCACGTTTGCCTACTGCAGTGGAGCGAGGAGCGAAGAGACGAGGGAATAACAATAATAACAGTCTTTAATCATCCAAAGGAACCAGGAACAAGCACGTAGCAATGGGGAATTGACGTTTAAGACTCAACACAGAAACATAGGCCAGAACTCTTTAAATACACAACACAAACGAGGGAATGACAGGTGAGGGAATCAACTAATAATGAGACACACCTGGGAGCAATGAACACAATCAAACACAAGAGAAAACTAGGTCACGGAGCACACGGGGAGGAAAACAACACACAGACAGGTCCAAACTCCTGACACATACATACATATATATATATATATATATATATTTATATAAGAAATATTTACATGTACATATGTACTCATATTTATATATGATTATATTATGAATATAAATATATATTAGATACATTTCTTAAATATATACATGTATGTGCATGTATTTATATATACATATAAATATACACAGCACACACATATATTATGCAAACACAAACCTTTATTTTGGATGCGATTAATTGTTTTGACAGCACTAGTAGAAACATCTGTAATTACAAAGCCGTTAACCCACCTTTAAACCTAACCATACCACAAAACTTGCTGTACGTGTACTTACTGTTTAGTGTACATATCCAAGACAGAACTGAGTAATATAAGTAACTACATGGGTTAAGGTTAGGTTTAGGGGTAGGTTCAGGCCAGCGTTACTACCTAGTAATTACCCAGTTAATGAAATTACTACAATGTGCAGTAGTATGTACATGCAGAACAGGACTGTAAAAGTTACATGTATCCTACCTCAATAGCAGCAAAAGTGTTTTGCAATACAACATGAACACAATAAGTACATTGTACCAAACAATAATTATTATTTTTGAGGCAAGTACAAAGGGATAGATAGGGATAAATGAACATTCTGTCAACATTTACTCACCCTCCACTAGTTCCAAATCTGTATGAGTTTCTTTCTTCTGTTGAACACGAAAGAAGATCATATGAAAAATATTGGTAAGCCATTGACATCCATAGCATTTTGTTTTCATATTATGGAAGTCAATGGCTATCGACAACTGTTTGGTTACCAATATTCTTGAAAATATCTTCTTTTGTAGTCAACAGAAGAAAGAAACTCATAAAGGGTTGGAACAACTTGAGGGTGAGCAAATGATTGCAGATTTTTCACTTTCAGGTGAACTATGCTATTGAAGACACCTCATATAATGTGGGACCAAAGATTCTGCAATGGTCATGTAAACGTATGATCTTCTCGTATTAGTAAAACATTTGGACTGTGTATGTTGTGTATGTTCACCTGTAACTATGTATTGTGAATCTCCAGAGAAGGCACAATCCCACATCCAGCCTCGGGACGTCTCTCCTGGGTTGTTACTCTTTATACTCAACTCTGTCATCAGAGAGAAGTTGGAGGTTCTCCAGATTTTACAGGTCTGGTCAGCAGAGCATGTGGCCAACAATCTAGCAAAGAGTTGAAAACATTGATGCACTGATTTGTATAATAATTGTAAAAAAAAATGTCACTGATCTCTCCCTATTCCTTAGTTTAGCTTTTCTGTAAGACACTTACGTGGAGTCTGGGCTGAATTTGCAGCGTAATGAGTAGCGTTTGTGGGCAGGGATCTTGGTCTTGGGTATCAGTTGTGTCACCTCATCGCCGATTCCTCCAGCCAAATTCCACACATAACAGTTGCCCTACAATCAAAAACAAATAAGTCAAACCTGATTCTGATACAGTATGAATATATGCAGTACACATTATCTCAACCTCATTAGTAGTGTGAAATATTGAATAACATTTGTTTGTTATTGGTTACTGACCGAGCTGTTGACTGCAGCCATATAACTGGCATCAGGATCGATATGGACTGAATTGACGGACACATCTGGCTCTGGGATGAGCTGTTCATTGTGGTCTGTTTTTAAATCCCAGATATGGATAACACCACTTTGGTCCCCAACAATTAATTCAGCCTAATGCAAATACATTCAGAAAGAAACTGTACTTTTGATTGGTGTTCTTGTGAGCAGTAGTAATAGCAGCAGTAGTAGCAGATAATAAAATATTGAAAATAAAACAATATCCAACTGACCTGATTGGGATGAAGACACACACAATTAATAGGTGCATTGACTTGAAATATTCTTTGGCACTGTAGATTCCTTGACCTGAATGAAAACAGTACTTCAGCAAACACATTTCTAAACAGCCTTTATAGACACAGCAGACGGCATTCATTAGGTCCTACCTCAAGTCCCAGATGCGAGCCATGCAGTCTTCTCCACCCGTGTACATCCACCGCCCATCCTCGTGAAAGCCAACAGATGTGATGTTCTTGCTGACACCATCGTAATTGATCACAGGGTTTGGATTATTTGAGTTTAAGTCATACATGCGTATGTGTTGATAACCTAAAATGCAAGAAAAAAATTACAGTGTGTAAACTATACAGGCAGAGATGAAAGAGAAGTACTGTTTGCATAATTTACAGCTTTATATATAACGAGGCACATGCTGAACTTACCAGTAGCAGCAATCATGCTCCTATCAGGTGTCACTTCAAGGGAATTTACCTGCTGGTGTTTGAGTTAAGCATCTTGAAGGTATTTTTGCACCTAAATAAACTCACTAATCCTACTGCACAGGATGTACCAGCAGTTCCTTGTGGGAAAAAAGTACATTTCAGTGTCCTTATTATGGAAATAATATACTTCAAAAAATGTTGTTTGCAATTAAATGAAAATGTTTGGATTTTTGAGGTAAATTAAATGCAATTAGTTAAACTTAAGTGTGCTTTTTGACCCACTTAGGTAGGACTTGAGTACATTTTTAAATGTAATTTTATAATTACTTACATTGTCTTTGAAATATGGTTAAAGTGAATTGCTTAATGTATTATTAAAAACCATTTATGGTAACGAAAATATATTTTAATGTCATTTCTACTAAAATAATGCACGTCAACTAAGTATTTAAATATATTTGTAATTACACATTTGTAGTAATGAAGCTGCATTATACTTAAAATTTAGCTACAATTATGATTAAATACTTTACTTGTGCTTTAGTATCTTAGTCATAACATCAAAATAAGTGTACTTCTTCAAATGACATTACATGTTACCTAAACTTCTAATATGTCATTATTACAAAGTGCACTTTTTTTTTTAAGTGTTTTAAGAAACATGACAATCATTAAGGTATACTGAAATTGCTTTTTATTTCTGTAATATTACATTCACTGAAAGTACATTTTGAAAAATACGATTTGCGATTTTACGATTTGAATACACTACAAGTGTAGATTCAGTACAGTTAGAGCACTACTTTTTGACATGGGGTAAAGGTCTGTGTATCTGCGAGGCACAGCTCTTGCTCGTGAAGGATACGGAGTCCTGGTGCTGGACGGTCCTCGTGCAGATGCCACTGTGAGCCTGCCAGAACCTGACGGTATGATCATATCCAGCGGTGGCGAGTATCACCGGATCACTGCCGACGGTGCCTTGATTCACATTCATGATGAACTCAATGCAGACCTAATACCAGCTTCACAGGAGGATTTCCAGACTCGTTTTAGCTGATGTTGATAACTTCATGAATGTACCTTAATGCGTTTTTATGTACGTGTTTCTGTAAATCGTTTATGTTAGCAATAAGATAATAAAACTTGTGATACCAAGCATTAATGTGTTTACCGTGCTAAAATGCTTCTCTAAAAATAAAATTGGACAAACTTGATAAAAATAATATAACTTAAATCAATGTTCTTACCTGATGGTGAAGATTGCACTAGAAATCCGATTAGATAAATGTAAAACTATGATCTCATCAACGAATTGAACATTATTTACAGAGATGTCAAACCTAAGCGGTGCTCCTTCCAAAACCGTCCGCACAGAAACAATTCTTGAATAAAAGGTTCCGAGGCAGCACAGTGTTCAATATTTAACGTTTTTATGCGTTAAAGCATTTAAGAAAAATCGGCTTGGAACAAACATGCATGGATACACCAAATAAATTCGTTTACAGAGATAAATTACAACACAATGAGATCAAATGGGACATTGGAACAAAATGTCAAAAAAAATATATAATTATTCACAATATATGCACAACTTAAAACACAAGTAGGCCTACATTTGATTTGTTTTCACATAAGGAACCATGCTGTTTGGTTGCTGTGTTGCAAAACAGCATCAAACCACAAAGGAGGCAAAGTTTTGCTTCACTTCAACGGGGTCAGCGAGTGCACATGACAAAATGCTTGCCCTCATTCCACTTCTGCTTCTAGCAGATGGAAAAACCTACAATTTAAAATGCAGAGTGAGTTACATCCTTAAATATTCAATTTTCAAAATAAGTTGCAAATGGCAAACATGAATAACCTTTAGATAGATTTTGCATCTCTCCAGAAGAAACTTCCACTTCAGAGTCGTCCTTTGAGACTCCGACAGACGCAAAAACTCTTCTGTCTGTCAACATAAATATTTTACGTTTACTCTTTGCAGGACATACAGACATCATTCAGGACACATACAGACAGTCTTGACTTAGCTCACTTTACAGCCCAGGGTTTTCTCAGCCACTGTGCCTGTCAGGTTGCATGACTGCACAGTCCCAGTGTGATCACTGATGTCCACCAGCAGATCAAAGCCTTCAGTGGCCTGGAGCTGTTGTCCTTGATTTGGACAGGCATCATTGGAACATGTCTGACTCTCCTCATTGATTCGAAATTTGCATTTGGCACTGGTGGAGAAGTTATCTGTTAAAACTCAGGCTTGTGAATAGTAGACCATTGCATAAAACTGTCAAAGCATTGCACACTTACCATCGCTTGCGTATGACCTTTGAGATGGAGGAATTTAGTTCCAGACTTGTGATGAATCCAAATATTATGCAATGAAAGACCTCAGCATGTTCTTGACTTCTGGCTTTAAGCTTTTCCACAGTCAGAACATCACTAATGGAATCCACTGAGAAATAAACGGAAGGATGCTGTTTTACTGGTAACCCTTTACAATAAGATTTCATTTTTAACATTTTTTAATTTTTAACATTAGTTAACTACATTAGATAGTAAGAAAAATACTTCTAAAGTCTTTGTAAATCTTAATGTTAACATTCACATTCATAAAATCAGAAGTTGTATTATTTAACGGACCTGAACTAATATGAACTAACAATAAAGAATTGTGTTTTTGTTAACTAATGTTAACAAAGTTTATCAAATACTGTAACAAATTGCTCATTGTTAGTCAGTGTTAGGTTAGGAATAGTCTCAGCCTCAGACGTCACGCACACGGACCGTGGGCTAAACGTCTGATGCATATGGCACACAAAAGTGGAAACACTTCAGGAGTTTCGAAGTCATCATCAGATTGGTTGAATTATACAGGATTTCTGGGAGACGTGTGTGTCACGCTCTTTAACGTTCCACCTGGAAACAAAGATGCCGTGACACCAAATCCCCTCACGAAAGAAGAAAGCTGTCGTGTTTACAACTGAGACAATGAACGCTTTTCAGGATCAACTAAACGCTGGATTTTCAAAAGTATGTGAAAAATTTTAAGTTCTATTATTACATAGAATCTTTCAAATATATCCGAGAGTTTTACACTCCAATCTGTTACTTCGTTCGATGAACGAAACGAACTGTGATTGGTTGTTTGACATGCCGGTCAAATGGCCTCATGGGCGGGCCTAGGCCAATGAAAGCTGCCATGGATTCCAGACCTTCAGCCGTCAGTCTGAAGGTCTGGCTACGCGAGACTAGGTTAGGAATAGTTCACCCCGAAATTAAAATTAGCTGAAAATTTTCTCACCCTCAGAACACCCAAAATGTATGAGTTTCTTTCTTCATCTGAATACATTTGGAGAAATTTAAACTTTAAACTGTCACCTCTAGTCACAAAATGAGTCCACAATCCATACTAATGATTCCTCCAGTGAAAATTCCACCCCCTGTTGCCCTCTCATATCAAAATTCACCAACATATTTGTTTAGAACTGTTTTCACATGTAAACAGTATTTCATTTGTGTACATTTCTCTTCTGATTCAGACAAGAAGTCTTTTTCACTGGAGAAAGCAGTATTATGGACAGAGGACTCGTATCTTAGCATAAGCAATGGTTTGAAGTTAAAAATGATAGATATGTTTCTTAAAACACAGCCTTTTGCTTCACAAGATTACTTGTAGATTACTGTGATGTTTTTATCACTCTCATTCTCTGATTCTGATGCCACCCTTTCACTGCAGAGGATCAAATTTGGTGAGCAAGTAATGTAATGCTGAATTTGCCAAATCTGCTCAGACGAAGAAACAAACTCATCTACAGTGCTTCTTGGACGGGCTGAGGCTTAGTCTATTTTCATTTTTGGATGAACTATTCCTTTAATGCATTAACTAATGTTAATAATGGGACCTTATTGTAAAATGTTTCTGTATGAACTGCACTATACGTACTGCATTGTTAATGCAGAGGTCCAGACACATCACGTGACTTATATTGCACATCGTCACCTGAGAGGATGTCTTGGTCATCCAGTCCTCCTGCTTCTAGCAGTTCCCTTATACATGTGTACAGCTGGTTGGCTTCTGCTGTATCTAAAATGTAATTGAAAACAATTGAAGGATTTTAATGATAATTGTTAAAATGTAACGATAATAAAAAATATTATAATTGTATTTAAACAGATTCTTTAATCTAGCATATCACATCGCTACCAGGGTTGAGGGTAATGATTGTCTTTGAGGTGGCTGTTGCTGTCATACAGTTGCGAAAGCTGTCAAAAGTGATGCGGGCATCTGCAATAAATAGTACTGAGAGAAAATAGATAAAATTAATTTCAATAATCACATATTAGAAATTGCCAATAAACAGACAAATAAACATTATTATACCTGTTTCTCTTTGTGTCAGTGTTTGTACCAGCCTAATAGTCTCTTTATCCCAGCTGGATGAAAAAAAGTAATGAAATCACTCAATTTAGTGTTTGGAGTGGATATTTGTTGTTGTTGATTTATTTCATCTTTTTAATCATACTGAATTTAATTATACTCACCACACAAAGGGAAATGATTTCCCAGTGTCATCAAAGAGCTTTATTTCTAGCCTCTGTCCTTTGCGTCCATCAGATTTTGTAAAGAATTTCTCCTCTCCAATCTAAATGATAAAATCTCAATCATTGAACACATCTGTACTTTTGCCCACTAGCCACTAATGCCAGGTTGTGTTAATTTCCCTGACAGTGAGGAGGGCTAGCAGTATATTGTTGGAATCTAACCGATTGCACAGCTGCTAGAATGTTAATAATGTGTCCATCCAGACTCTCTCCATTTGCAGTAATGTCTCCCAATGAATAGAAGTCCCTTGAGTCTTTAATTGGCATGTGGAATAGTGGCAGAATCCTGGCCTCTGTTTCTAAATCTGAGCATATCCTAATGCTTGAGTGAGTCTCTGTTACCAACAGCCTGTAGGTACTGAAATAAAATATGTATCACTTACAAACTTGCAGTATGATGACAGCGTAATGTTTCTTAGTTGGATGTGATATTTTTCATTTTATTTATTTTTTATTTTTTTACCTGGGTGTTGAAGGGCAAAATCTTTCTTCTTTCTCATAGTCTTTGGTCACTACGAGGGGATTTTCAATTACAACTAAAACAGAAGATGCTTTTTTTGGCTTACAGTGTCAATTCAGTGCCTTAGAATTTAATATTAGAAGTGTTTTTGTTAACAAGAGTAATTGGAATCTAAATGACTGATTACTACTTAAAATCTCACCACAATCCCCAATCTGAAAGCGACTGCTCAGTCCGTGGATGTATTCCTCATTTCCCCATGCAGACACATTGATAAAATGTTCTGGTGAATCTTTGATGGTAAAGCTGAAAGTAAACCTTTCAGAGCCAAAATCTGAAATAAAAATAAAAGACTGCATATTATAGGCTATAGAAAGAATGAAAGAAAGAAAGACATAATGGAAATAGAATGCATGAACATCTATGTAATGGTAACCAACTTTTCCGGTCTGGAAATCCTCTTGAATCAGTTTTTCCAATTATAACTCCAACCACCTTCTGGAAAATGAAAAGGCCTTATTTTTTTTAATTGAAAATATATTCCTTGCAGGCATTATTACAAGGCACGTTTTGTTAAGAGCAACTTATCGTCACAAAACTAAGCGGAGTAAAAGATATTAACCATATATTGAGCAATTCTCCTACTGCTAATTATTTATTCCATCTTTTTTTATGCTCAAACAGCAACATTACAGACTAACTAAAGTTGAAAAAGCATAATAGGACCCCTTTAAGACACCAGCATAACCAGGCACTCAAAACTACATCTTCTGATATTTGCCTCATGTTCTCACCGAGTGTGTGATGTTTATGTTTAGGTCACTTATTGGCACGCAGTTTCCAATTGGACCGTACATCATTTTCATACCTGAAACGACAGTGTCACAACGGAAAAACGCTTATGACGACAAAATTATTCCAATTTTGTGAAGTGCTAAACCAGCAGAGAGTCATTAAAAAAGCTAGTAACTTTAATTTCAACCCGAAGAACTAACGCTGAGGTAAAACAGTTTCGTTGCTAATTGTTACGTGTTCTGTACCCTACTCTATATAACTTATTATAAATTAATTAAACAATGTGTTATTATTCGTCAAGCTGAACAGCCACTATTAATCACCTTGGAAAATCTCGTTTGCTCCCTACACAGTCAAAAGCAGAAGATGAAGCGATTGGCGGGTCTGGAGCTTTGAAATGTGACCGTTACTACTACACCCAAATTTGTATGATCCCTTTTTTTTAATTTTTTTTAATAATAATAAATGCAATATCATGTCTTCGATAAATTAAAAACTTTTGTTTTTTGGTGTTTAAAAAAAAAAAGATTTACCTCTTAAAGTACCATATTTTCTGTAAAATATGCTTATTTTAGTTATATATTCAATATTTCTTATACTTCAGTAAAAAAAAAAAAAAACCCCAGTAAGTTCAGACCATAGACTGTGGTTCAGACAGCCATAACCTTTTGGTGACTTTGGTGACATCTGGTGACATATAAAGGTATAAAAATATCAATAGCCACTCTATGGCTGTAGTACTCAGTGGCTGCATATAGGCTGAAATCTATAAACCATTGTTGTAACGAATTAAATTTTAAACCTTTTAAAATCACAAGTTAAAATTGTAGAATTAAAAAAAAGATATGCTTAGACTTATAAGGAAAAGACAAAGTAGTAGACAGAATAATCCTTTATATATATATATATATATATATATATATATAAAATTTCAATAACTCAAAAAAAGTAAAATGGTACCAAATGGTGCCAAACAGATAAGAATAAAAAATTAAGTAGCATATTCCAGACATTCAGAATTATCAACAAATCTTGCATTAGGACTTTAATCTGACTTTGAAGTGTGTGTGTGTGTATGCACACACAGTGGCTGATTGGCACACAAAAAATGCTAAGTCATTGGCTCATTCAATTCTTTGGTTTTGTATGTGTGAGTGACGGTTTTTATTCAACAAAATAAAAAACCAGTGCTATAGCCTCATTCACTGATTTGTATATGGGTGTGTGAGAATAAGAATTGTTGTATAGGCTCACCCCTTCACTTATGTGTATGTATGAACTGCATTGTATTGGATTTATTGATTTTTATTGGACAAATAAAAAATGCTCTGAATTTGAGTATTTCCCATTCATTTCCTATGGGAGCCCACTTTTGTCCACGGAGGACAAATGAAGGAGTTTTTTTTTTCAACCACTTTGTTGAATCGAGCCTTTTTTTGTTTGTTTGTTTGTGTGTGTGTGTGTGTTCAGGTGGCAAACTTATGAAAAGTAGCCAAGTCTTGTACCACTCAGATTAAGTAAACTATAAAAAAAAGAAAAAGATTTTGCCCAAATTTGTCCCAAAGGATGCATGAGGGTTAAAAAATAAATAAATAATAATAAAATAAAAATAGATTAACAATAAAGGAAACAAACTAAATTGATTTGATTCATACGTTAATAGTGGAAAACAAAAGAAAAAGACACTTTCCATGTAACAGAAACATGAATTTCAAAATATTATGTCTTTATGCCAGATACAATAATAAAAAAATTAGGTTGAACAAAAAATAATATCAATTAATAACATGCTATTTTAATGTTAAAATTATTGTTTTGTTCATAATAATAATCATCATCATGATAGTGACCCGTGCTGTAAATTGCTTTAGGAAATTACTGAAGGTTCACAATTACCTTTTTAAATTAGCAATATTCAAGACTAGTTTTATCAGTAAGTAACTACATTCATTCATCTTGCACATGTTCAAATCAGCTTATGCAGACTAGTATAAAAATAGAGCAACTACTTTAGTCTCAGTGGCATCCAGGACGGTCATAATATATCTGTGAACAGGATCTCCACTTGGGGCTTTTCCTTGTCCACTTCATGAGCTGAACATCCCGTTACCCAGTGTGCGTGCAACAGCAGCCTCATCACCTCGCTTATTGTTTATCAACCTTATCTGATTGGAAAAAAAGTTGGAATATGAATTAAAATGGTTACTTATTAATGTAAATACGAATAAAGCCATTTGATACTGTTAAAATTATACAGAAAACTACATGTGGTGACTTACCTTTTGGGACAAACTTAAGCGAGTGACTGAATATTCAAAAACGTGTTAAGCCCTCCTCCGGTCCATCATTCAGAAACTCATGGCCTAGTCCATTACCACACTTGCCACACAGAACCTGCATATAGCAATGGAAACATGTATAAACAGTAACACACCGAAACATATTTGTGGTGTCTGTAAATATTAACGAATTTAAAAAAAAATAAAACGGATTCTGACCTTGTAGGCTGTTAATGTCTCCATGTGTTTTGTTACGCTGTCCTCTCGGATGGTCTCTGTGAAGGCAGGCCAGGGGGAGGAATGCTCATATTTGGATCTGCTAGAAAAGAGTGGATGCCCACACTGGGAGCAAACATATATACCTGCAGAGCTGCATATAGCAATGGAAACATGTATAAACAGTAACACACCGAAACATATTTGTGGTGTCTGTAAATATTAACGAATTTAAAAAAAAATAACACGGATTCTGACCTTGTAGGCTGTTAATGTCTCCATGTGTTTTGTTACGCTGTCCTCTCGAATAGTCTCTGTGAAGGCAGGCCAGGGGGAGGAATGCTCATATTTGGATCTGCTAGAAAAGAGTGGATGCCCACACTGGAAGCAAACATATATACCTGCAGAGAAACAATAAATCAGGTAACTGTCCTTTTCGACAAGTTTGTAAAACAGACACTTTGTTTTCTTAGCTATAGTAATATTTAAGCAAAGTTGGTTAGCAAATTTCGCTACACCATTTCAGCCAAGTTTTATAAACAGTTACATCATAATCTTCCTTCAAGGTAAAGGGAAGGCAGCAGGTTGTGGAGAGTAAATCATGAAAAACATTACTTACCGGGTTTAAAATGATCTTTATAATACTCCTTCCCGAAAAAAGAACAAAATGACATCGTTTGGCACAGATCAGTAGATAAAACAAACAGTGTATGTGCAGATCAAGTGCAAGCCGTGAAACTAAAGGACGATAATGTTCCGATCACGTGACCATTACAAACCCGCTCAGTTGACCTTTCTCTGAACGACCGTTAGGTGTCAGTGCAGATCAACCGAACACGCATGTCAACGTGGAAAACGCTTGATATAATGAATTATTATTTTAATTAATAAAGGTGCTTTAATACATTGATTAGTTTAAAAGATTAATTACAGACATTAAGAATAAATGTATTTCATGGTAGACTAAATAATTAATGCTATGATATGTTTCAGGAATGTTTTTAAGAAACCTCAACCTTTTAAAAAAGTAATGAAATATAGTGGGGTTCAAAAGTCAAAGGCCACAAGTGAAAATTCAACTACGTTTTTTTTTTTTTACTAATTTACAAATGGCAAAGAAAAGACATTTTGAATTAAAAATGTACAAACACAAAAGAAATGTCAAGACCGGCATGTTGATATTTAACCCTATATAAAGCGTTACTGTTTCATGTTTGATACACAAGAGGCCTCTAAATTATCAACATGATAAAAATTAGAAGAAGAAAAATCATGTGTGTATCAATTATTATTTTATATTATTTGTACATTTATCAGTTATCACTGTATTGCATACCCCTTTTTTTTTTTTTGGTTGAAAAGGTGGGAGAAGAACAAAAAATATTACAGCCACAGTAGTCTTAAAGATCTTTGCTGCTCAGATGTTTAATAGGTTATGCTCACTCATATTTGCAATAGTGTTTAAGTAACTCCGGAAGTTCCAACCAGTCCAAAGCCATTCTGTGAATGATGTGTTTCTGAATTGTCTTTTGGCAGAGTGTCTGCAGTGAGGCAACTAAAACACAGGAGCAAAAGAGAGGGATCATTACAGTCTGTCTGTTACAATGTGGGTCATATAATCATATCAAAGCATATTAGCAAGTTATAAACTCAAACTTACATCCATATTCCACCTGGACAATCCGAACACTTTTAGTAGCTGCAAATACATCCACAATAGCATACAACAGCTTATTGGTGGGGATCCTCTTTGGCAGAGGCTCCCATGTCTTCACCATTGACGATAATGTGCATGTCGGCATACCCTTGTCCCTTAGGTACATAGACAACCCCTATCCGACTGCGACGGGCAGTGGGGGGTAGAGCGTTGGTTTTGTACAGGTCGTCCAGGATGTGACTGAATCTCCCGGGTCGACTGCGTCCCACCAACTTGTCTCTGGGTATGCCTATGTTTTCTATATACAGGTGAGTGTCTGTGAAAAATGTTTTAGGCTTGTTTTCTGCCTCATCACCAACATTTGGCTGTTCACCACCTTCTACTTCTTCTTCTTCAATGACTTTATTATGATTTCTTGTTATTGCAAATACCCAGCTGTCTCCCATTTTCACTAGATCAGGCAGAGAGTATTCTGGCACAGTTTCCAGTGTTCGAGGGTCGTGGGCAGTAAGTCCAATCCTTAAATGACCACACCAACCCAGTTCTTTCTCTTCGATCTCCACTAGGAAGATCTCTCCAGGGCTTAAAGGGTCTTTACTGAAGCAGACGCCATTTGCAAAACTTTCTACTCGGGTGGCTTGAGTCCTCGAGGGGTCCAGTCTCACATTTGTCCCATGAACTGAATGGAATTCCATAAACTGACCCAAAACCGCTGCCATTTTGACAGTTTTCTACAAGTTCAATAAAATAAGAGACATATCTTTGTAATAACTCAAGCTTGAATGTTTTTTGTAGCCTGTAAAACAAATGGACAAAGAATAAAAACTAAAAACTCACTCACTCAAGCAAAATATTTATATTGTCCTCAGTGTTTACTGTCCTCTTCTCTGGGGATAGTCCTTGTTAAAAGCATTATCTTTTTAAACGATACCTCTACCATGGTACCCTTGTGGCTTGGGAAGTGTCTAGTCCTGAAGGGCTGACTATTTTTGACCTCCTGCATGTGTCGTTTGTGGTTTTAAATAGCTGACAGATATGGTGAGTGAAGAGTAATGACTGGGATGAGTTTTAGCCTTCAGACAAGAACTGCTCATTGACAATTCACTATCCACTGTTTCTTGTAGATCATGGTGTTCATTTAAAAAAATATAAAATACTGAATGGTCATAAGTATAAGTATAAGCATAAGTATAAGGACAGAGTGGACTAAGTAACATTTATCTTCTTAGTACAGAGAAATCTGTGCTAAGAGAGCTCTGCAAAGCTTTATCTAGGCCAAAGTAATTGTCCTCTTTTAACCCACCTCCCTAGCACAGTCTGAGACAGTGAAATATTACAGGCTACATTGTGGGAACGCAATACTTTTTTTTGGGTATCAAATTAAAAATAAAATGTAGTTTCTTTTTTATTATTTTGCTATTTTAATGTCAGATTCTTTGATCTAGTTTATACTCAAGAATATTCTGATATTAATCTGAAAGTGGTCATATTATGATTATGTGTCATGTAAATGCATTAACCTGATTTCTATAACCAGAAACAGGAAAGCACATATTCTGCTGTCTAGAAATTAAAATAAGACAGTTGGCCTGTGGCTGTAATCAGAATGTAAACATATTAAGAATATCCACCATAACCTTTATTTATTTATGCCTCTTTATTTGACTTTTTAACACTCTGTCAAGGGTCTGCAGATGAAAAATAAGCTTTCGGCTAATTCTGGCAAATTTACAGTCATGTTCATTAATGTGAATTGCCCCTGTAAACAAATTAACTAAACTGAATATTAATTTACATTGATATATAAGAAATATGTTTGGAGTGAAGACTCTCCAATATTATGACTTAAAAGGGAAAAAATAAGGACATGAATTAGAGCATGTTTAAGTTACTTTTTAAAATTAAATTGTTGTCCAAAATTACTAAAATGCAGCATAATAAACTGTAACAGTGAGCATTTCCAGTATTTTCAGACAATGGTAGTTTATTATTTGTATTAGGCCTATATTACATTACATATCCCAGCAAGCATAATCGGAATATATGAATTCTGAAGGTGCTGTGCATGGTCACTGTTACAAATCCAGGACAAATGAGTTTTTAGGGTCATCGGCGTGTCTTGTTGTGTCTTTATAAGCGTATGGATGTTTTGGCAGAGTTTTTATTTTTTTAATCTGGATTAAAGTGGACTCCAGCCATGCTTCCTATAATCAGATTGAGGAGCTGCTGCTCGCAAAATCACATCTGGATGGAGCCTGTGAGGGGGAGGAGTTAGTTTCTATGGGGATACACAGCGTCACAGTAATATAACAGCAATGCACTGCATAAGTGTAGTAATATTTCAAAACTCCGGAGGATCTGCGCACTGTACAGTCCAGGTTTACCGAGCGACACATGCACATCTGCACAGCCCTGCGGCTACAATGAACGATATAAGCGCACATCGCTCTTTAACTGTAGCTTGTAAAGTCTGATGTCAAGCTGTGTGCAGACTCATGATTCATGCAAGACGGTTTAAGAAAGTGTCATCTGTCTCTTCTCTTGGGAACGATTCAAGGAACTGCGACTCACTGTTACTGACAGAACGCAAAAGCTGATATTTTTTTTTTTTTGGAGATCAGGCGATGGTGCAGAAATTGGGTGAGTTCATTCTTTTGAAATTATCTCCATAGGCTACTCACAGAAAATGCCGTTGTCAGTGCTTCTAAAATGTCACAAAGTTGCTTTAATACGAGTATCCTACATATTTGATATACTGCATGAATCCTACGAATACACCATCTGCCTTGATGAATCACCTGCTGTGTTGCCTGTTCATTTCAACAAATTAAAGTGTATCGTACTGCTCAGTATTTGTATCCATCATTGGCACTTGTCTCTGAGAATTATAAAAAAATTTAATCCATCTGAAACATTTGCTTGAGTTTAAATTCAGTTCATCTGACATTAAGCAGTGCTATTAATCTGTTGAGCTATTTTGTGTGTGTGTGTCAGACAGATCTGAAAGAATTTTAAGGATTTTACAGTATTTCATGTATAATATGACGCATTATCTACATATTTGCATGTGATTTTTTTCCATTTACCACAGTAACAAATTCTACAGAAGTTACATGTCTGTTTATTGTCTATCATAGTTTAGTCCAGATAGTCGCCTTCCAGTAGGCTGTCCATCAACATGTTTTCTTTTACCAAACACAGTAGCTCAGATGAGATGATTAAAGGCATTGTGTGTCCAAGTCTGCCTAAACTTAAATTAATAATCAATAACTATTTATAGGGAGTGAATGTTTCACTATACATTGTGTTTTTACCCTGTTGTAAATCATAGCTGAAATTTGATAGGCATAATTCAGCAGACTTTTAGAGAAACCCAATCATATTTTATTCTACCACACCAGATTATGGTTTATGCACATTTTTTATACACTTATAGCCTATACAGCATTATTGATTGTTCAGAAGGAGAGACCTCTCTAACAACACGAGAGAGGTCTGACATACCACATAGTGTAGATGTGCCCTTGAACAGTCTGTTGGTTTATTATTTAATCAGTCCATTTTGAATGAAGAAGGGATTAAAGAGAGTTTGCCAGTTGCTGGAGAATTGGTGTCACAGGGTTACATAACCACAGAAGGCAGTCTTTAACTTACTTTTAAATGCCTTACTTGACCTAGAAAGATCTTTGCTTTTAATTCAGTCTGTTGACTGAACTAGAAAGCCCCATTTTCTCCTGACTAAGAGATATATAGCTTAGTCCCTCATTGTGGTTCCCTTAATGTACTAAGTAGTATTTTAGAATGCTGTAGCCTATAGGGAAACTTATTACAATTAATGGGCAAAACAAAATGAATATTGGTTCTGTTATGGTCTATAAATACAAATTTGTGTATTGTGTATTTAAGTGTTACATAACCTCTTTTAAGTAGACCTAATGATCAATGAGTAAGAAAAATGATCATTATCCTGAAAGTGCCCATTGGCTTTGTTTTTTCTTTTGTCGAGCACAGAAAGAAAACAATAAATCTTATGGGCAGCACTTTAGGCACCAAAATACATGTAACATTAACAGATAAAATGCATATGTTCAGCATAATTGTTCTTGCTCTGTTACTTTGCCTTTTATACATAGAGGATATCAGGCACAAAGTTCATGAACTGTCTTAAATATTTCGTAAATCATTATACAACAACACTGGAGCTTCAATTTTTATTATTATTTTTTAGTAGGTAGATCTCCCAAACCCTACTTATGCATTATGTAATAATTATAGACTCTAGACATTATTCAAGGGGCGTCACCTATAGAGATTTTTACTCAAAGGTCCAAGGAGGTGTTTGAAGGCTCCTTCATAGGCTAGTATATTGGTGTTTTCAACCTTTTTTATTAATAAAATCTGTGACTGTTTAAATAAATGAATTAAACGTGATTCATTTTGTTCATCCAGAAGTTTCAAGAATTGTATACATTCTTGAATAAAAACAAAATAATTAGCTATCGAAGGGGCGAAATAAATATGATTTTGTTTGTTTTTAAAGCATTTAATTAAGATTTATTATCTTATTACAATTAATTGAAATAATTTTAAGCCATCATATATAGGGCCTCCTTTCAGAAGCCTTGTTAAGAACCACTGCCGTCGAGGGAGAAGAGTTACTTTGTTGTAGCACAAAACTGATCCAGTCAATGTTTTGTCCAAAACGAGCATTGCCAATGAAAGGATATTCCTCATAGTCATCATACTCTGAAACGCTCTAAAAACTGCTGATGGAAGTTGAAGCAAAATGACTGTGTTGTCCATATATCTTGAGGCAAAATAGTTTAATTGTCTTTTTTGCTGACTCAAAGATTTTTACTTGTGCTCTGTAGAGATGAATCATGGCAGGGATGACAGGAAATGAAGGAACTCACAAATTGGCCGGTGGGACCCAGAGACCAGGTTTACAGCTGAAGCAGGACATGGACCAGAGAGGCATAGTAATCCAACTGACGGACACTGAGGGTGAATGGGACAATCTTGATGACACTGACCTCATATTCACCTTGGACTGTGATGGCAAAAAGTCACTTAGCTCCCTCCGAAACCAAAGACCATGTTCGGTCGACATTCAGACAGAGGGGGAATGGGGTCTCAGCTCACCTGCATTCAATGTTCCTCTTTCTCCATCTTCTCCGGGCTCCTTGAGAAACTCTTTCCCCCCGGGGTCTGGCTTCCTCTCGCCCACTCACCGGCCCCTGGCCAGCTTAGTGAAGTCATTATCTACAGAACTGGAACTGAAAGAGTCTTCTCTAAAGCCCAAACCACTCCTCAGCCTCGTGAAGTCGATTTCCACCGAGCTTTCTCGCAGTGAGCCCGAGGTGTCTCAATCCAGGTCTGATTCCAAGCTCAATTTGCACTTGTTGTCGCAATTCACCCAGCCCAAAAGCCGCAACGGTGACTCCCGCACCGCCCCTCCGTCTCCAGTCAGCTTGTCCCCCACCGAGCCCAAAGCCAGCTTCTTCAAAATGGAGCTGGAGGACACCCGACGCAAGCTCTCGGAGGCCATGCAGGAACCTTTGAGCATGTTCAGTAAGATCATGCGTGAAGATAGTGTTGGAAGCCCCAAGCACCAAAGGAGCACAGGATCAGTGGACTCTCCAAGCTACAAAGGCTTTGGAATTGTGAAAACGACCACTGACCTGACTGTATCTGAATCTCCTAAAAGTGCTAGGAAAGCAGAAAGTGAGATTCTACCGGAGTGCAACTGGCCTGTGAGACATCGCAAACGGTGTGTGCAGAAATCCTCGCTTTCCCATGAGCACCATAGCAGACAGGTAGACACCGGGCCTGTGATGGAGTCCAGCACTCATGGCAGTGCATCCCAGAGCACAGATATGAATAGAACTGATCAAGATGGTTTGGCAGAAGATGTGACAGAACAATGCTCCTCTCCAGTGCCAGGAGTGGGTCTTGCCTTTGTAGCATTTCTGTCCTACTGCTACTTTATCTTTCCTTTGTCAGCGTATTGGTCTGGCCTGTTCCTTGGTTTAGGGTTTGGATTAATGTTGGGGCTTGTGATGATCCGATGGAGCTCCATGAAACACTTTCCCACCAGTCAACAACATGGACTACATGGGACCTCCTATAATAATATTCTCTTTGAAGCATTACAGAGCAACGTACCGTCTCTCAAGGTGAGTTTGATGCATTTTAGAATATTTATATTTTGTAAAAAAGAATTGGTGTGATGATCTGTACTTGCAAGGTACAGCACTTGTAATATAACAAAAGATGTTAGTGAAATAATTTTTGTGTGTGTACATTACAATTCAAAAGTTTGGGGTCAGTAAATTTTTTTTTAAAGAAATTATTACTTTTATTCATTAAGGTATACATTATAATGTAAGTTGATAAAAATATATTTATTGTGCACAAAATCAGTATATTAGAACGATTTCTGAATGATCATGTGACACTGAAGACAGAAGTAATGGCTGCTGAAAATTCAGCTTTGCCATTATATATATATATATATATATATATATATTTGATGCACTTTTTTATATGACTGTGGCTGCATCTGAAATTGCATACGTCCCTAATATATACTAGATGAAAAAGAATATGTGACAAAAGAAGTATGTCTGAATTCACAATACTCATAAAAGAGTGGGCAAAAGTAAGTTTGGGGTCAGTAAATTTTTTTTGAAAGAAATTATTACTTTTATTCATTAAGGTATACATTATAATGTAAGTTGATAAAAATATATTTATTGTGCACAAAATCAGTATATTAGAACGATTTCTGAATGATCATGTGACACTGAAGACAGAAGTAATGGCTGCTGAAAATTCAGCTTTGCCATCACAGGAATAAATTACATTTTAAGATATATAAAAACAATTGTAAATAATATTTCAATTGTACTGCTTTACTGTTTTAACAAAAAAATGCAGTGTTGGTGAGCATAGGGGATTTCTTTAAAATATAAATAAAATATCTGAACGATCCCAGATTTTTGCAAGGCAGAGTATAAATATTACAAAATATATATTAATTATATTTGTAATACATGTATAGGCTTCAGCATCCTGCTTCTGGTGTGATTCTGTGTGCATACAACGGACACTACTATCCCATGAGGCCATGGGAGAGGATTTGTGAATGGCAGTGAAGCGACGCAACTGACTTTGGTAGATCACATGATAATGACAACATGGTGAATGTAGGACCTCCAGATTAAATTCATACTACACACATTATAACTATACATAACATACTTTTTTAGTGATCGTAAAGTGATTACTTTTTCAAAATAAGTACCTACTTACAATTTTGGACACAGCCAATTTATTCTACTTCCTAAATAGCATGGATTATCCACCAGGGTGCAGAAGACATGTAGTTGGGTTTCCATTATAGGGTTAAATGCTAAGAAAAGCAATAGAACAGCGCCGCAGGTAACAACAGCCTTGCAGACTCCTATTAAACCAAAACCTGCACTTCAGTGTGTCAAAGCCCATGTCCTTCGGGAATCAGGTTTTTTTTTAACACACTGCAGTGAATGTCACAGTGTCTAAAGTAAGCCTTAAACTTGCTTTTCTCCAAAGACTAAGCAAAACCCTCATTACCACTCGCTTCTGTAATTAATTCTGCTCTTCAGTGTCTGATGCAGAATAACACACACCCACTGCTTGTCACAGCCAGCTACAGAGCTTATCCCAATAGTTTGTCTGTCTCTGTCCTAAAACTTTGTGGTGAGAATTCATAGATTACAGTTGAGTTGAAGTGAAATGTTTCTGCATTCTAGGGCTGGATGAATGAGATGTACGCATATGATCCAGAGACCTACTATCCATCCCTCATGCACACTGTGTATGTCACATTGGATGGACCCTGTTTGCGGCTTGACTACCCACGTAACAACATTCCCCGCTGGGCTACTTTTGACGAGCCCTGTTACGAAAAGCATTTCACCCACTCACGGATATTTCGACTCACTGGCAGCAAGGTTAGCACTGATTTTAACACCTTAGTAGAAAGACGTGCATTGCCCTTCAGTGGTAGTGCGACACAGTTCTACTTATGGTCTCTGAACCCAAATGGCTCAAATTTTAATGTGGCAGAATGTTGCATAGATGTCACGTAATTATAATGAAGTTGTTGCCTTGGTAACAGGTATTTCTTCTGCCACTGGCTTTGGCACACAAGAGAGTGTGGAACAGGAAGTATCCGATCTGCATAAGTTTGGCTGAAGGAGAAAGAGCTGTGGAGGAAGACGAGATGGCAGAAGGTCAGGGGGAGGCTCAGAAAGTAGAGAAACACCCTGGGCCTACGACGAATGTTTCCCATCGTGTCACACTATACCTCTTTGGACGAACAGGGCGGGAGAAAGAGGAATGGTTCCATCGACTGTTTTCTGCATCCATTCACAATGAAGAGAACCATTCTGAATCTATATCTGGTGGTAAAGTTGAAATTAGTTGAACTTAAAGGGATAGTTCACTCAAAAATTAAAACTCATTCACCCTCATGTCGTTCCAAACCTGTAAGACCTTAATTCATCTTCGGAACACAAATGAAGATATTTTTGATGAAATCATAGACCCATAGACAGCAAGGGAACTGACTCATTCAAGGCCCAGAAAGGTAGTAAGGACATCGTTAAAAAAAGTCACAGGCATTGTGGTACTCTCATGAACGTGTGTCGAAGACTGACACGGAAGAGAAGAAATCATTAAATAAAGTCATTATTTTTGTTTTCTTTGCACACAAAAAGTATTCTCGTAGTTTCATAACATTATGGTTGAACCACTGATGTCACATGGACTATTTTAACAATGTCCTTACTACCTTTCTGGGCCTTGAACGTGTCAGTTGCATTGCTGTCTATGCAGGGTCAGAAAGCTCTGATTAATAAGTAATTAATGACAGAATTTTCATTTTTGGGAGAACTCCCTTTAAGCAAGGCTTAAAGACTTAAGTGAACAGAACATACATAAATTGTGTCAAACACAATTTGACAAAATATGTCAAAAATGTTTTTGCATATGTGTTTTTTAATGTATCATATTTGATATATCAGGCTTTTATGGTAATTTATGCATCACAACATTTCTATTGATCTTATTCATAAAGAAACATAATTTTGTGGTTGTCAAAATCAAGAATGGATATAAGCCATATATAAAATATTTATTATATTAATTTAATATTATTTAATATAGTTAATAATAATGTTATAATAATATTTTAGATGAATACTATTTAATATACAAATTATTTATTTAATATATCAATTATACCAATATCGATACACAAGCCACTTTGTACAATCTTGTGAGGATAAAGAAAGAAGGTGTCTCAGCTAAGAAAAGAACATTTTAAGAATGTTTTTCTAACATTAAGTTACAAAAAACATTATTTCTGAATTTTCTTTTTCTCTGTAGATAAATCTGCATTGCATGAGGAGAACCCTTGGGGTCTGTTACATGGTGATGAAAGCTCAGTCAAGGACAGCAGTGAAGATGTGTTCCATAGTGATCTGGTTGGCAGAGTAAAAGAGAACATTTTACCAGACTATACTTCTTACATGACCAGTCTCATCTTCTCAGCACATGCCAGTCCTCTGCAAAGCCCCTGCCAAAGCAGCACCCAGGGCAGTCCTACTGATAAAGAGCAGGTGAGCTTCAACCAAAGAGGCTTTGTGTCATTTTTGTCACATGACCATGAAAAAAGGCCTGTGATATACAGATGAAATTGTTTTTAATGCTAAAAATGCCACCAAAGCATGTCAGAATAAATCGTCTACATGGCAGGTATGTCAAAGTGCATTTATCAAGGGTGGCTTTACATGTTGGTGAATTGCTAATGTGTAAAACTAGGTAAAATATTTGGCTAAAGATCAGCCATGAATTATTAAATGCTGCTTTTTCCTGTGGGGTGTGAGAAGTGTGTCAGATGCTTAGAGACAGCGGCTAAAAATGACAGTGAGTTTTGCCTCCAAATGCAGGAAATACTATTACAAAATTCTGACAAATATTTTACTGCTTTTAAAGTCACCATGAAATCAAAATTTAAAATTCTTATTTTTTAATGGAATACTGTAGTGTTTATTATAAATAATTTATCCATGCACTTCATTATTTTTTTAAAATTCATGTGCCCTAGTAATCTTTAATCAAAAACGTTAACCTTCCCTCCCCCTCAAAACGACTCATCTTCTCTTCC